AAACGTGCCACGCTATGCTCAGCTGGTAAGTATTACTTTTATTTACGATTATTGATTTCAAAAAGATGGAAAGGTGGCTCTTGAAGGAGCCTGGTGATATATAAGTGTAAGTTATCAACGTTCTTACACGGACGTTGGCACCGAGGCAAGCCGTACTACTCTATTGGCGCGGAATAAATGAGAAAGAAGCCTTCGGGTCAACCAGGCTCGCTCTAGGACTTGTTTGTAATTATTTAATGGTTATGTTATATTTAGCTAGTTGAATCAGTGTATGGATGAGACTCAATAACTATGTTCTTCATTACAGACGCCTCAACTGGGAAGTTTCCGAACACAAATCTGCGACAAATAAAGGAAATCGTCCATCACTGGCTGAAGAACGAACGGCAGAAAGTTCGGAAAGGCCTGCAGAGAGCCACCAAGAGTGACAAACGATTTTCCCCCTGTATTTTTTGAATTCATTCATAAAAACATTTGTACTTGAAGGCGCCTATTGATATCCGGGAAGGTAATACGTTGAGCAATTTTGTGAGGGCAGATGGGTTATCACGGCATGGGAGCGTGGTGTTTAGGAAGTTACTGAATTGCAAAAGGGAAAGAGATAAGTGCGTATAATGGGCCGCATTCGCGCGTCGGACAACTTTAGATAAGTGTGGATTGGGTGCGGAAACTTGTTTCATTTCCGCACAGAATCTGCACCCAGGTGCGGAAGTGTGCAGATATTGTGCGGAACTGTCCGCACCCGGGTGCAGACATTCTGCAGACATTTCTGCACCGGTGCTAACTGGGTTACTTTTAGATGCAGAAGTTCGTCAAAATAAAAGTGTCAGGCCTTTATCGACTCCATATGGGAAAAGATCACACATCAGTGGGAACACATTAACCTGATGGCACTTATCGGTGCAACACAATATGTAGACGCTTCAGTAATTTCAACCAGCTACGTTTCTTGATCAAGTGCCAAAGTTTAAGTGTACATGCCCAAAAATGTGTTGCACTCGCAAACCACTGAGCACAGATTCCAGTGAAGAAACATATTTACAATTTTTGATAAATACTGATAAAACTACAAACAGCAGATTGAAAAAAGATATGGATCACCCAAAAGGCACTTATAACATTTGGACAGTCCAATGTCCATCTTTCGAGTGTTGATATACACTGAGTGGATGACCTGTGTGCGCACAAGTTGAGTGCAAAGTACTTATGCCTACTTCCAGTTATCTTCACTGACTGCGGTGATTTCGTGATGGGTCGTGGAGATACTTTTGTGTCCAAAAGCTAAGATAAGGGCGATGCGACCCGCAACACATCCTTTTTGTCCATTCGCAGAATGGATATTGTCAGTAGAACAGAAGTGCATGAAAAGTAAGAAAACTTCAGGCGCTTTTGAGCGCGAGTGGTTCAACCTCCTTAGCTTCCTTGGAGGCTCATAGGCCATGGAGGAACAAAGACAAATTACTCTCCATAAGCCCCCATTTCTATGTGTAAATCAAAGTGGGATGCAGATGTAAAGTGAAGAAAGACGCATCAAAGCAGAAAAAATATTTTTCTTCGTTGGCAAAACTGAGTTCTACGATTGTTCAAGTTGTGACATGAACATTGTCCAAACAGCGGACGAAATTCGGGCTTAATGTTGAAGACTGAGCAGAAAATGACCGATGAGCTTCATATTTTGACATCAGTATCCACAGAAATGATTAGATGTGGGTGAAAGCACACACCCATTGTGGTGAAATGATTCGTTGCGGGATTTCCGTACTGCCCACTTCAGGGGAATTCTCTCAGTGGATCCGTAGTGCCTGCAACTACAGCGCCAAAGCGGTTGACAAAAAACTTCTAGAAGGGCAGGACTTCAGGCCTACGTATTTTGGAGGACAAGTGCTGTAGTTTTCGCTGTACATAATCATCGCTTTTTTACCAACTTTCCGCCAGACTACTTTGTGCATTTATGGAGGGTTGTTGGATTACATAATAAAACGCACATGGAGATCGGGATCAAGACCATGCAGAGAGTTATTTCAGGATGCCGTAGCGTTTTCATTATTTTTGTAGATGTTCAGGCCACTTGAAGTTTCACACGAGTGCAGATTCGCCGTTTAGGTCAATCGGAGATGGAGGTCATGCTGGTGGCGTTTTGTACCTTTAGTTTACTTCCATTATAACACTAGGTATTTCATCAATTGCATAATAGCTTTTTGTTTGAATACGAAAGACTACAACAACACGCACATGTACAATTTCACATAAGACAAGCGTGGTCACGTGCTTCGACTCTCTCTTCTGATTTCGCTCGCGCTTGCAGTGGTCATTCACGAGTGTCATGCTCTAACTCTGGTTCCAAAACACTTCAGTCAGTCTTCGGAATATAGTATATGTGGGAACTGTTCAGAAGAAGGCCTCTGAACCAACATAAATTGATTATTGTTTATTTACTGACCTGGGCCAACGACGAACTATTTTAAAGAGAACAATTGTTAGTGAGTCTGTTCCCTCTGACTTCTTTACTATTGTATACCCAACTTAGAGTTATTGTTTTTATTTCTTTGCCACACACCTGGTAAACTAGCTTATTGGGTAGCCAGACCACTACATGCTTCACAGGCTTTTAATGTCATATCCTATATTCATGCGACCTAGGTGGTGCACCATGATTACTAGTGGTTTTTCAACGACCAGGACGCAGTTACCTGGACAGTACTGCGGCAGCCGTCGTGAAAGTGGACAAATATTTCGTGTACGCCAACTTCCTTACAACTTAGGACTACGCTTACATAGACAACAAATGTTCCCATTGTTAGCTACTTTTCACACACCCATAGAGATGTCGAAGAATTTTCGATGGTAGTGATCTTGGTCCACATAGATGTCGTTCCAACTGTCTCAAATTTGCCTTTGACGAAACATAGGGAGTCGTATCAAGAAGGTCTTGAAAGGTTGTAACATAACAAGGAGCGCAAACGCCTGATTTCCATACATTTCTCCAAGCGTGTTGAACAAGAAAGCTTATATAGAAAGCATGGGAGGGGTTAAAAGTTTGAATATTTCTGATGGATGGAGAGCAGGCATGCATGCAGGCTGACTGCATTTTCAGAAATCAGTTGAAATGCCCATGGCAGCTCACGCAACACAGAGGAGAACATTAGTAAATGAGAGCAGAAAATAAGATTATGACATTCTCCGCGCAGTTCGAGAGAGAGAAACTGGGGCTCCCCTATAAAGATAAGCCTGCGATAAGCTTTGAACGGGCATTTTCGCTGGATGCATCTACCAACAGGACTGATTCTGTCTAGTGTTTCCTTACACCCCTTAAATTAGGAATGGTTTTAATTGCCATGATATGTAAACTGTAAAATAAACTAGCGAATCACTATCACGGATTAGCCTCAGTGTGATCAGCTGCGGTAGACTCAAATCACTAATTAACTCAACCTCTGAAGACTCAGAAACACCATGGACGCTCGGGGTAACCATGACATGAAAATAGCTCTCTGTGTTATTTACCTCTTTGGTCTGCCTCGTTTTTTTCGAAATCCGTTTTTCTGTTCGGTATATCGAGGTGCCTCATAGGATAATGCATGAAAAACCACTCAAATGAAGCAGATTGCTATCACCGCCTGCTTCTTTGTAATACCAGTTGGGACTAACGGAAAATATTTGTTTCGCGCCACGAAGATGAGCAACAGTGTTACAGGAGGCTTTTAGTATTTGCTATAAAAGGAGAGGGGCAAAGCGCCCACTAGAGACCGCAAACTTTCAGATTTTTTCTAACTTGAGTAATATTCTCCCATAGATTTGTAGGTGGAACTGGCCTTGGTTCACATAGTTACGGTGGCGCACTTTTGATTAGGCGTTTCGCCGAGTGCACGGGTCATCAGCCTTTTACGCTAATGTCTATAAGCCTTGGTAAATAACATTTGGAAAAGAGTCTGTGTACGGTTGCCTAAATTTATTTTATTCGTCGGGAAAAATGGAACGACTGGATGGAATGGTCGGTGTCGATAATAGGCCGAGGGAAATATTTCCATCAAATGTGGTGCGACCGTTAGAAGATGCTGAGAATCTGAGCAACAATGCCTCCGTATTAGAAGAAACGGAGGCAGATGATGAGGAACGTGGAGAGCTTACTGTGTTGGATCCAAATCATGTAATGCATGCGGCACTGTGCTAACGAATTTAGCCATTGATGAAACGATTTCAAGAGAGCTTAAAAGCAATGCTGATAAAACAGCTTCAGAAGTCAGAAGTGGCACTGAGAGAGATGGTAAAATCGGTCATTTCTAATTGAGTTTTCCCTAGGATGAAGAATGCAAGCGCCAGAAATCTGCGCACATTGAGACCGGATGCGAACTGTACAATTTTCAACAAGAACTTGCTAAGTGAGTGCAGTAGAGGCTCTAAGATTATGCTAATTATTGGATATTAGCAGTCAAGCCTGAGTTTGGCCCTCACATTTGGCTAAATGCCGTTGTTAGAGTGTAAATGTAAGTACAAACAGTTGGCGCCGCCATCTACAATAATAGTTTATCAGAGCTGCCTGCACTGATATCAGAAAAGTAAAAGAGAGCAAAGGTCGACGTCGTCTAAACTCGAGCTGGATGAATTTGGATTAGTTTTGTTTTTCTGATATGCCATGTTTAATCTCGTTTAAATTCCAAATTTAAAAGCGTTAAGCCACCGAGTTATCGCCGGTGCAGAAATTTCTACAGCATATCTGCACCCAGGTTCAAAATAATATATAGGTTCCACATATCGCGGCATCACCCGGGAGAGGTTGAAAAGTTAGCAGATCCACCGAGTTTCGCCGGTGCAGAAATTTCTACAGCATATCTGCACCCAGGTTCAAAATAATATATAGGTTCCACATATCGCGGCATCACCCGGGAGAGGTTGAAAAGTTAGCAGATACGGGAAGAACGTACAGTCTTTTTGTAGCCGGTGGACTTATGATTACTTTCGCAAACAAAGTGGTATCACAACTGAAACCAGAATCCGATCCAGCCGTGAAATCAGACCGCCGCTGTTTTCTCTTGCTACAACCATAGTAACACGATTGATTAGCATACTTTTTGGCTTAGTTGTCCTTCATCCTGCTACTCTGGGGAAAAAGATACCCTGAATCAATGGCTTCCTGCTGGCCACACAGTGCATCCGCAAAAAAATATAAAAAACTAAAATGAACATAAACTTACTGCAACGCCGGAACACATCGTACGTAGCGACTTTGACTGACACGTTGGTGAGGTGCCCTTCAGCAAGTTAGCATGTTAAACACTTGCCGTGCACGAGGACCAAAGGACCTAATCAGGTGGTACGAGCCGCGCGTTATGAACTATTCAGGAGGAGTTGTCCTCTAAAATCATTTAACAACGTACATGGCTAAAACATGTTCCAAGTGTGAAATTCTAGAGAATTTTCACATTCACAAGGAAGCTTTAAAGAAACAACACAACATCAACACAAGTATATGTATTTATTTTATGAAATATTGAGCTATACAAGTAGAGGGCGCATGTATTTGACGAGTATCAGCGACGAGGGTACAGACTAATCAATACGGGGTTGCAAAATATGGAAGTTTATATGACATTTCCTGTGGAAAGAACTCGAACATTTACAAGACATTTTATTGACTAATGCAAACAACCTAGTGTGTTGCACGGCAGAGCACCGTATAACAGAAACGTTCGTTGATTTTACCACAAGAGTGTAAAAATGGGAGAAGTGTTTTAAATATCTGACACCCAGTAATATCCCTCGGAAAATATACAATATCAGGGTGGCCAATTATCATGCAAAATGCAAGTGTCGGAAAAGTTTTCGGAAGTACGACACTTGTGCACATACCTGTGACATCTGCACGTGGCTGATGATCCTAGTGGCAAACCCACATCACCCATAAATATTCCCCCTTCGACTGCGTCCAATTTGGTTAAAAAATCAGCACAGTGTTGTGAAAAGAAAGGTGAGCAGCCTATAAAGTGGTTGCGGAAAAATACATGCACAGAAAAAGCTGTCGTAGCTCAAAAGCCTTCCACCGATCCCGTTGTAGCACACTTCGACATTTTCGTGGGAACTCTGCACTTAGGACCACACGCTGTTGCTCAATTTTGTCATTCATTATGTTTCAGGACTCTAAATAGCGTCTAGCCTTTTTCCAATTTGCATAGCTCTGAGTAAGGTAAGGAAATCTCGCATCAAACCAAGTCACATGCTGTGCATGTAGTTTAGTGAGAAACCATCAGTCATGGGAAATTTCAACTCCTCCGTCGGCCTGGGACCTGTATGATGTTTCTCTTGCGGAAATCAGAGCCGCGACGTAAGACAGCTGTTAAAGATGGGAAAGTCATTCGTGTGACAATGTGCGCTCCTTTGTGTGTGCAATAACCACATCCTTAATATCCTGTATGTCACTTTGCTTGCTTCAGAAATGCCCAATCAAGACCATCGCAAATAATATGTGAAAGACAAACGGTGTGAATGTGGTAAACTCAGAAAATACCTTACAATAAAACGTAAATCAACTCAGTGACTGTTTTAGACATCAACTTTTGAGCATCGTCCGGCTTTTTCTCACCACAGTACGTTCCAATGACGAATAACCGACGGAAAAAAGGGTAAAATATGCAAAATAGTATGGGCCACACCCCGGTACGTGAGTTACTTTAGGCGCGAACACTACCAACGTTAATTTGAATATTGACATTTGTCACCGCAGTACCGCAGCAAACCTGCTTTCATCGGCCTTCTGTTGCACGCAGCACCGACAAAGAGTTTTTATTACGGTACTTGGATTCTCCGAGAGAAACGGACAAAAGACCTAAGTTCGTACAACACAACGGCCAAATTGGATAAAGGTAGGTTCAGACTTTGCGCCATCAGGCGAACACCCGTTAAAATATTTCCACACTGTTGTGAATAGTTAAAAATATCATTGGAAGAGAATATAATTGAAGTACAACCCGCGGGCGGATTCCTCAAATGACATGCAGTGGGCTATCTTGCGGCAAAAAGCTGAGTTACCTGTAGTAACAAAAAGGCTCTCCGGTAACCGTAGTGCCGAATGACTTTCTAGTACCAAAGGAATGATAACACGGATTAGGGAACCCCCCAGCTAGCAGCGTTGTAACGCACACCCTAGTTTATTCCCTGGGCAGTGAAATTCGGCATATATAGAACCTATCACCTGATTAATTATGAATCTTACCCCAGAGATTCGGTAAAATGCATTATGAATGTATTTATCAGTTGAGCAACGAAAACAGCCGGTTACTGCAATAGCCTGGCCTACTTTCCCAAATAACGTTGTTCCAAAATAGCCTCTACGCGCAATACGCATGAATTTGGGACCCAATGGCGATTATTAGAAATAAGAAAATATCGTTTACAATTATCTAACACGTAAACACACCAGGCTTGAAGTATCCCACAGTACAACCACACTCACTCTCTTAGTTGCACGTACAAGCAGAAAGCACATTTTTCCGCAAATAATGGCTCTGCACACTTAAACAAAACCACTTAAATCGGTCGAAAGTTTACATCCTGCATGGAACCAGAAATGTAGTGTATTGCGGTTTTTTATTACCTCGAAACAAATAAAAAAGCTTTGTTGCCTCTTAAACGTCTTGATCTCGCTCGACATAAAAGTCCTCCATTAGTGCAGAAGTTCTTCAGAGATTTAGCACAGGTTCTGCATCCAGGCGCGGAAGCGTACGAACAAGGCATTTAGAGATGTCATACAAAAAGTAAATCAATTCTGATTAAACATTCGTGCACGGTTTCGCAATTTCTTACATTGTTTTGAAATGGAATTATTAATAAATTTTGTCGAGTGTAGTAGAAGTGTCTGTGCGCATCGAGAACTTATGATCTTAGCGTCTTTCAGAGTGTGTCACTGGGGGACGTTTACGGATTTATCGTTTATTCAAGTCAACGGGGCGGAGCACTGGAGGATAGAAGTTCTGTATGTTTATTTGTGGTGCAATGTGTTTACAGTTCCTAAAGTTTAAAATGTCTCTCAGCTGTAACACCATTCTGGTTCCTACCTGTCATGCCACCCGAAGAAAGCACGAAGGCTAGGATACTGCCGCGTTGGAGTTCAACAGCTACTTTGAAGGCGCTAAGTGCGGCGCAGAACCAAGTTGTTGAGATGACAGTGTGGGACATTACCATCGTGTCACTCTAGTTGAGTCGACAATCAAGATTACTATGGGTGGTGCAATCAGAACGAGCTATTCAGACGCACCCAGCATCCATCCAGTCTGTAGAAGGTCATTGCGATTGCCTACGTTTTAAGCTAGCCAATTTCTGCTCCCTAATACGGGGAAAACAAAAAATGCTGATGAACGAAAGTAAAACATGAACAAAAATCAGCGTTTTCTTCTTGCTGTAACACACTGTTTCTAATACCGCTAATCCAGTCGTCATAGCTCTTGAGCAGAAGGCGCTTTGGAAATGGCTCACACGAATTTAGCAAAATAAAAATCCTAAATTCACCAGTATGCAATCCCAGAAACCATAGTTTTGGAGCAGCGAGAACTCACAATTTTCAAAGTGAGTGCAATTTCGGAAAATCACATGGCTGCTTTTATTTTTTCCGACTTGTCTGTGCTACATGGCAACACTTTACTAATGGCAGCCGTAAGGGTAATTATTCGCAGTTGCTTTTGGTTTTCAGAAGTTATAAGGTTCCATTTTCCTTCAAATTTATGCTTGCGTTGTGTGCCGTTATTTTATTTTCCCCAACCAGTCTCCACCGTTCTTAACCAAGTGCATTACTTTCACTGCACAGAGTGAGCCATTGCTTTCAATGCGTGATTCCCTCCCTTTATTCAGTTTATCCCTTGTGACCAAAGCTGCATAAGCTCAAACTACTGCACCTGGGTCCATTGCTTGAGTTACAAAAAGATTGAACTGACTGATGTTGATTATCTTATAATGCTATTATACCTTCATCTTCCACCCTTTCTAGCTAACAGCGTAATTTTGCGTTGTGTCGGCAAGCCATGTCTCAGTTATTGGTTACTTATATGGTTATTTGGGACTTCATTCATCCCCACAACTTACAAGAAAACTGAATGGATAAGACGGAATCTACTGGATAGAAAGTTTGTTTCAAAGTTGCTTCACGCTTCCATTGCTCGTATTTAGGCTTAGAAATTCTATTTGTGTTTCAACTGCTCTGGTGCTTCTGGTTGTCGTGCATACAACAAAGCTAGTGGTGACAGCGGAAACACGTGTGTTTCAGAGTTCTGCTGTGTTTTGAATGAAATTTAATTTGAATTAAGAGCACATTTTTGCACTACCACTTTAGTCAATAAAACATCTGTAATTTTCGCTTCTAGTTTAATAACATGCAACTTATTTACGCATGAAATTGTCGTGGAAGCTTTCGTGTAAGACACAGAGCTCAATGTAGCTGAAAAATTCATCGTCGTCGGTAGCACAACATCAATGAAAAACACCGATTCTTTACTGTCGTAAAATCACGAGCGGTATAAAAGCCTAATCGCAAGAGAAGAATGAAGGTGGGTGGGAGGTGACTACATCTCCATACGATCATCGAGATACTCGGACGCCCAGTCAGATGCACTCAGATTTATTTAAAAGCTAACGACAAAAATATCACTTATTATAGTGTTCCAAATAAGCTTAAGGGTAATCAGACCGACTTCATAATCGTACCCAGAACTTTTAAGTAGTCTTCATGCTCCTGTGCCACATCAAAATGTGATCCCCTGTTTGCTCGCATCGCTCTGCATTGAGCACACAAAGAGCGGTCTTCTCAGGAACTGGTGATTTGGTGTGGACAATAGGTGACCAGACACCGGCGACGTTTGACTTTTGCTACACTTTACGACTGATATCTCTACTGCATAGAAAATGGCTCACTCTTTTGTTGCGTATTTCCTGACGCTAAACTACGCTCATTGCGATTTTGAGACAACTTTTGACAAAGACACGAAGACACTGTAGCTCACTGCTGGCAAAGACAAGGTCTCACAACCACTCAAGAGGGAAATCCGTTATGTTGCATAATACAAGCACCCCCTCAGATTAAATAATTTATGGCTTGCGGCCAGTGCTGAGGTTTGTTTACTCGCAGGTACTCAGAGGGTGCTGTTGGGAGGATTTTCTGAGATGCGCACAATCCGGTAATAATTTTGAGTGCACATTAGTTCGGCGAGGCAACACAAAACGTAGTACCAGGTAATCAAGTATTATCTCAATTCCTGCTTTTCATGTGAGGACTAAAAGTAGCTTGATTTTTAATTATCACCTGCAAACAAGTTTATATCATTTTTTCCTTCCATGCAACACAATTCTGAATGATTTTAACATCGAAGACTTTAACGGCATGGTTCTGAGTGGCTGAGTGCTTGTTGTTCAGCAGTCTGCGTGTTTGTTATTGCCAGATAGCAGGGTAAAAGCTTTGGTCGGTTCAACGCATAGTGATCGGCATCAGGAATGTCAACTTCTACCGCTACTCTGTGTAATTCGCTACGCTGCGTAATTCATATGAGTACACAAAAGTAATATGTCTCCGGAAATACTTTGCCATGGTTATTAATTCCTCGCACAGCATCCGTCTGGTTAAACAAACTGGAATTTTTGTTGTACTGCTTTAATAAAAACCAAATATTCCGGTTCCACCTCCAACTATTTTGCGCTACGAAGCTTGCAAAAGTATGAAGCATGCCTATAGTAAAGTCAATCCCAAAGAACCTTCAGGCCTTTAGAACCTATTTTCATTAGAATAAATTTTAGTCCCGAGCTTATGGCGCAAACTACTCATGTGCATTTCACCAACTTTGTATGTCGGTTTGGAAGAGTACACACGGCACGCGTTGACATAGTTTGAACATACAAGCAGGGATAACTGCACGTTCCCTAATGCTACTGATAAACAGAGACGCCTATAAATCATCTCTTCAAAAGCGGGCTAAAGAAACCAAGTGGTCAATTTTGAAAAGATCTTACACTATGATGAAGGCTACTATTTGAGCTTGTTGATCTAATTCTGCAAGATTTTAACACGGATTGGAACAAAATTGAGTTATATCGCTAATGTTTTTGGCTTACGCAGTATGCTTGGATGCATCCCGGTATATATATGATGATGGCGCTGTTCCTTACTCATTAGACTGTCATTTGAATTTCAAAATGTTTCCTTGTTAAACAAACGCCCCGTGAACTAAATATCCCCACGTTGTTTCTTGATGATTTCGCTCCATTGCGGCATTTTGACGTTGAATGTTGCCCTTTAAACGTAATATTCGCACTTTCGTCATCCATTACTGTCTTAAGTAAAATGTACATAAAACTTTTGTTTTCTGTTAACTTAGTCCAGATGAAAACAAAAATTTGCCAAAACTTGAGGTGAATGGTGATAATATGGCGTGCTGTTGGGTTTTATTCTACTTCGTTAGCATTGTGAACGCCAGCCAAATGATTAAGAAATAGCTAAGTTGCAAACATGGGAGAATGTGTTTGTGTTTAAAAGACTTTAGAAAACCTCTTCTGGTTAACTGTTACCTGATGGTGGACACAGAACTTTCATTGTGCCGTACTATTTCATTGTCCACACTTCTCTAGGGCAGCGTAGAATGATCTACATATGAGCCTCGTGTCCGAAACCTCAGTCGATTTTTCCTGAAATGTCTTCGGAAGTTTCTGTGCACTTCATTGTCTGGATGAGCTTTTATGTGCTGAAGTCTTTTAAGGGGCGAAATTTATCGGAATCAAATGCGCACTGATTTGTGGCAAGTTTCTTTAGTGAGGTGATTTCAAACACCTATACACCTTCTATGGGGGCAGCTAACCAGTGGTTCGTGAGACAGAAAAACCAGAAACTATCACATATTGAAAGACTTCGGTCGAGTTTAAGACAACTTTTAAAGCCTAAAATTTGCATTTGCGCTGCAACACAATGTCAGCTGGATGTCAGCAGGAGTAGAATTGTGACTTAATATCAGTCACCCGAGCTTAAGCCTTGTAGGCCCGACTATCAGACCACTTAGATGACGGCATGCACCCATCAGCTGTTAGCGCTACATGCCATGTTCTGACATTGTGTGTCCTCTAAAGAATAGTGGCTATCAGAAATGTAATCATTTAGGAAATCTCGTCATTCTTCAAGAGGAGCGGATTGGTTATTTTCTGTGATGTTAAATTAGCCGAGTGATCTTTCATCTTGAAAATGGCGGCAAAAACCTATTTTCCATTAGGGTTATCGGGATGAAGTTAACATTCCAGTTATCTTGCTTCAGGTACAGATTTTGCAGTATTATGGACCAGCCATCCAATTGAACTTTAGTTATATTTCATGCAAACTGAAACAATGCAAAATGTTCTGGCTGTATCAACTCCGAAGCAAGTCGTGCATTGGAACAAATGCTCATTGACATTTGATTTTATAGTTTATGCATCATCTTTGTGTTGTCTCCAGAGGGATGCTACATGAATTTTCTTGTTAGATATTACAGTGCTTACACAGTTGTTACTGCTATCCCAATGGTAGGTTCTGGATAATGAAAACGTCCGATAAATAGAATGATTCTTTCAACTGCTTTTCCCCTGTGGAGGTTATGACGTAGTAGAGAACCAAGATATCTATGCAAAAGTAAGCGAATTCAAGCTAGTTCTCTACCTTGTGCTTGAATGTGGTGCATAGCTATGGATATCTCAGCGCTTGAAAACTCTGAACGAAAGATCAGTGGCTGGAACCTAAGTCAGTTTTTTAATTGATCCTCTCTTGGATTAGACAACCTGTAATTAGTTAAGCGATGATGATTCGTCCGGATTGCCTAACAGCTGTGCCGGAAATGAGTGCCTTAGTGTACCGATTATTTTTTGTTTTTAATATGTCCCAACCATTTCGACGGTTTTTCAGCATAGAAGCCTATGTAGGCAGAACAACACTCTGAAAGTGAAAATAGAAATGAATGATTGATGGAGGAACCTGATTCTAGCATATCACAAGCATTCTAATGTACCTACTCCTCCTGGCTGGTGCTGAAAGAAACGAACACCACGAACGATGTATCTTGATAGGAATCCAGTCTATCGCAAGGAACCAGATCAACGAAAGCTTATTCCGGAAGAAAGACCACACCAACAAGTTCTGAACTCCTCACACTCTCGTTCATACCCATTTAAACGTTTATATGAAAAAAGACATAAAAAAGACCACAAAAATGTTTGTCACAGATCGGGGAGTCTACAATATGACGTAGGACCAATAATTTAGCGATTTAAAGACTTATGTTAGCAATTTATGGTCTTTTGTACACCATCTACGATATGCTTTCTCTTTGCAGATTTCAAGTACAACTAGAAAAGAAGCATGCAGAGTATGTGGAAATATCAGAAAAGACCAGAACAGCACAGGACGACCTGAAACAGCTGCGAGAAAGCTACAGCGATTCTGTAAAAGGACTGGCTCAGGAGACAAAAACTATGCATTCCATGCGAAATGAAGTGGACTCTCTTAGTTTACGCTTATTCTATCTGAATATTGCCAAAGACGAAGTGACGGGAGATATCAAAGTAATGAAGCGTGCGGCAGAGAAGGCAACAATAGACCTTTCCAAGGTAAGATCTCAACACGTCAAACGCTGGGACATTGCAATACTGGTATTGAGGAAGTACGGTATAGTGGAATTTTGTCCTGTGTATCTATCATTTTGTTTGTGATGAAATTAGTACACTGCACTGGATCTACACCAAACGGATGTTACACATTGAGGCGTGTACGAGCAACCTTTTAAACTCAAAGTTATGATAAATTTGAAGGAGTTCAATCAAAAGCCAACTATCTCGAGGATCTTGAACTCTATTCTAGACAACGACGACTTCCGTCCAAAATTCTCTTTGGCCGCACTACTGATGGATTTAAAATCTACTCCACAAAATTCACTATTTAGCTGGTATGCATGGTGAACCTTATGAAAGTGGAGACAATATCAAGTCGTGGTCGGCTGCACAGTGATATTTATTGTGCGTGGTCACTAGATTTGCGCACACAACTCTCTCGTCTGAGCAAAGAAAAAGCATAAATTTGTGAAAGGATTGTATTCCACAAATGAAACCATTAGAAAATATAGGGAAATCGACCCAGTTTATCAACCACTGAGAACAGGAATGCTCTAGAACTTTTGAGCTCAACAAGGTATAAGAAACCACATACTGAACCCAGAAGAGACAGAGGAGCACGAATCCAAGTGATACATTGATTTGGTTGAAATGTGCTTGGATGAAAGTCGAAGAAAGAGCCAAGGACATCTGATTAACCTATCAGATGCACCTACGCTATCCAGTACGAACGAGAAAAATGAAAGCGCTACCAATTAAGCAAAGTCATTTAAAGGGATCAGACCTTGTGCAAACTGACATTGGTGTCAAAGGAAAGAGTAGATGAAAACCACTGAAATTAAGCTATATTGTGTCAACTAGTTAAACTAATAGAAGGTAAGCTACACTGAAACACCAGTTGTAAATTCTGTAATCCAGTAAACGTCCAAATCGATAAAAATCTTGGAACCAATCGAACATTAGCTTTAGCAACCATTATAAACAGACCAATAAGCTCACGAGGAAGTTGCCACTCAATCTACCGATAACTCCAAGAGAAAACAGGCATTCTCTAAAAGCTTCAAAAACGTAGACAAGGGGGATATACCCACTCAAAGGTACATTGATGATGTCTACTCGCTTGGTGGTAAAATATTTGTAAGCCACTTAACAAGCTCGGTGGCAAGATAAATAACCACCCGATCAAAAGCCGTCTCTCTTCCGCCGTCTCTCAAGACATTGAACAAACAAATCACATCACCCAAGTGTCAACAGTTGAGGCTGCTCGGGTTCGCTTATTCAGGCGCGTTCAGCGTGCGCTGATGGCACTATAACCAACGGCTCGCATTGCATGTCAGAGCTCCAGGGTTGAAGTACCCGAGCATCCAAGGGTGTGCATTACTGATGAGAAAAAGAACTCGACTCCAACGGCCTGGTTGTTCTTTTTGAATGTTGCTCCAGAACAGGAGGAGGACTATCACAACAAATGATGTGAATGCTTAATGATATTCCTCTGCATAACATCCGGAGATTACGTTTACTTGATGAGACCGGAGGTCGGCCTCCTGAGAATATTTTGCAACCGTTCCATTTCAACGCATCACGTAAGGCGTTCAAACTTTTCATACCTGATTGAATGATTTGTTAGATCTCTAAGATGTTCCTAACACAACCAGGGCTTTTAGTAGGCTGGTCAATACTGGAAGGTCGAGTTCCAATGGGTACCTGTTTTGATTTTCGCTAAAAATATTAGTACCAATTGAACTGGATGAATTCTTTTATAAATATATAAGTATGAACGTAAGCAATATCGGCTACTAAAAAATCTGAATCCACTGCACAGGTAATGGTTTGCATGCCAGGAGAGTTTGACCACATTTTATGACTTTGGGATTATAAGCTTTCAAATTTTACTACAAACGCTGACTTTTCCCAAGGTGCATCTAGAAAGTAATTGCTACGTCACTGGAAGTTGAATAGATCATCGGTGGCATGGGCGAGTCTCTCTGTTCTTATATTAGGAACTAATTTGTAAACATTCCTTCACGGCTACAAGAGGCACTGTTGTTGTGTGCCAAGCCCGGCAAACCTTTCAACACATCTGGAATTATGTTTGAGGTGGATTATGCAGATGACAATGTGAATGACACGGTGCTGCAGTAGCCATCCTTTTACATACAAATAGTGCCCAAGCATTTGGCTCATCAGTGTAATATCTGTTTTGTCAACCAGTCAATGCGCAGGTACGGGGATGTGTGAGTTGGTAGACCGGACCGAAGCTGTAACTGCAAGCAAAAATGTCTATTGACTCAGAGGTGACTGTACAAAATTGACTTATCCCGAAGAACATTGCTGTTCTCTCATTGCGTCAGCCAAAGTGAGGTGAGGAAATCGCGTTTTCGCTCGTGTGGTTGAAGAAGATTTCTGGGTAACATACTGCCCATCCTACCAACACTGGCAGATGGATCTAATCTCCAGTTTCCGGTAACTTCATATGCCACTTGTCTATCAAATTAGAATACCTGTCGTGAAACACTCGTTTGCTGATAAGTCGGTCAAGGTACATGATGAAATATTGGTGTGTAGATTGATTATCAGGGTGAGTATGCAATATTTGATTGGTGCTGGAGCACCGCAACGTCTATAATTCTCATACTGATCCACGTTCTTGTCTCTCGTTCTTCTTGGCTTTGTCTGGTTTGCTGATAGTGCACTGCTTGTGTTGGGTTTGTTAGTTGCAAGGCACGGAAGTAATTAATGAACTATAACCTAAACTGCAACAGTGTTTACGGTAACTTCTATAAGTTAAGTAGGCTATAATTTTGATGGAACATCTTGGACTACTTCTTCTTGAGACGCCTCAAGAAAGGCGAAACTAGTTATATGTTTCCCAGGAGTTCTCAGGAATATTTTGAGTGGTGCCATTTAGAGGTATTAATTAATGTTTGTTGTTAAGGATTCCCAACCTTTACATGAGAACTGTTCAAGACTTTCAAAGCATACTATTTACTTTAATGTTCGGAGGTTTCTTGTCCTGGCATGAATCGAAATTCGCTTTCGAGGAGACTTTTTTCCGCACAACCCTTGTCGCTGGTTTTTGTATACGAAACCAGTAGAAACAATTCAATTGAAGAATAGGATAGTTCACCTAACGCGCAACTAAATGTCTGAAGCAAGTCCTTAGCCCTTGGTATGCAAGGGAAATATTGGTTTATGACACTCCAAGATTGCCTGGTCAAAGTCCACATAAATCTCAGGAGACAACCGCGGAATGAGCCCTCAAGGTTTGTTGTCAGGCTAATTAATTAGAAAAGCGCATAATAAGGGAAACTTTATCAATCTTACACTTGTGAGGTCTTTCTAGGTAGGTAGAGAGCAAATCTATTTATCGGAAAACAACAAAGCACACGGATTGTCTGGCGTGGGCGAACCACCGGTGAAGGTTTTTGACATTAGACATGTGTGCAACTGATCGGTCATCATCGCCACCATCATCATCAGAGACATTTGGTCCTCAAGTTGTGTTAGATTAGACCCAGGAAGGAGGTTTACGTAGTCGTGAAATTTTTATTAAGCGTCTTGAACCTTCAGTGAAACACTGGATGTTTGTGTGCATGTGCACTATGCGCAATAGGCGGCACAGCAAAAAAAATTGCAGAATAATAGCTGGTAGCAGTATACGTCTTTCTGTGTTATCCCGCAGAATAAAATGAAGAATTTTATCAAAGTAGTGACAGTTTCCCAAAAAAATTAGTCGTTGCTTCAAAGTAAACACTAGTGGTGACTAAATTAAGTCTTTTTGGCCCGTAGCAAGAAGACGAGAAAGTTCGTCAGGATCTGCTGGTGAACCGCATTCAGACCAAGGTTGATCAGCTCACCGAGGACATTGCCCTGTACGAAGCACAGATTACTGCACAGGAGGCTGAAATGGAATCAAGCCAAAACCTTCTCCACGAGGCCGAAGCTCAAATTGTCTCAATAAGCGTGGATAAGAAACATTTGATGGCACAGTGGAATACCAGCCTTCTTGGACTACAGCGCCGGAATGAAGCATACGCAGCGCTGATGAAAGCTCACACGTAAGTCACTTCAGAAGCCTTGTTTAGCGTAGCAAAGATCAACCAACCCAAAGGGACTTGAAACAACTTCGAATTCAAACTTATTTTTACTACTATTTGATCAATCCAATTGTGATATCATTTTTGTGGCTACTACATCATCATCATCATCATCATCATCGTCATCATCACCATCATCGATAGCATTACACCAGTGTTCAACACCGATGCTTCAGTGCCGCACAACCATGATTTATTTCAAAGCCTTATTGTAAAGAAAAGATTAAAGGTGGCCGGAAAGGGATTTAGTGCTAGCTTACCACAATCATTCCGGGGTGCCTACACCTCAAGACATTCGCCCAGGCGATCTGGATAGAAACGGACAACAAGAACGCCACTGACATCGGTTGGCAGCCATAGCTTGTAGTGTCTTTAACCGGGTATAGTGAGGATCACGTGGTTCTCACCCTGGAAGGCGAGTAGCACCGACAGCACACAAGCGTTTCGTGATCTCCTACAAAGGTATAGTGACACGTGGTTCTCACCCTGGAAGGCGAGTAGCACCGACAGCACACAAGCGTTTCGTGATCTCCTACAAACTCATTTGCCACATACATTTCCAATACCAAGCTGTTTGGGGGTGAGTTTCATCGTAACTAAGGTACAGCCGTTTAGTTAACAGCTAACATGTTAACTCAAGCACGCTGATTGTATTCGCAATAACACACGGAGTAATGCCAACACATAAAGATTTTATTTGTTTGTTAGGATATCGCTACGCATTATAATTGTTACAGCACCTTAGCCTCAATCTTAAACACCCAATGCACGATGTAAATAGGCAGTGTTGCTAGATCATCCTTCAGTATTTGCCTTCATACATTTCAGCGAAGCAAAAGAGCGACTGATGGTCCTAGACAACGAACAACTGGCTTATAAAAGATCGATCGCAAAAGAACAGGAAAAGCATGAACAATTAACTGTGCTTGTTAACAAAAATGAAGCCGATTTAAACACCCTGAAGAAACAGATTCTCCAGACTCAGACGAAACATGAAGCTGACAAACAGACGTACAGTACCTATACTCGGATGCTACAGGAGACGGAACGTAATTTGTCTGAGGCACAGTCAGTGAGTTTCAGCTATGTGCAGGTCATATGGTGTAATACCTGATCTTGAAACTACATAAATTAGAGTCGGTTCGTTGTGAAAATTATCTATTTTATTCACTCTTGAAAAAATCCCTCAACGGATTCATCGTACGTGAAAGCAGTGCACTCTTCTATGGAAATAGAAATTCAATGAGATGGTCTTGGCGTCACTTCCAGGTGACAAATATAAAAAGCCTCCATCATTTCAAATCCCCCGACTATTTTGATAGGTAACTGAAAACTGTAGGTACAGCTGCCTTACGAATCGTGCCTCTTGTGGTGAGTTGATCACTCTTCTATGCTCGTTGTGGCTGTAAAGTATTGAGTGTGGATTATACTGGCGGCAAACGGAGTCCTTACCACCCAGCTATCTCGAGTGGTTGCATTCATCTTGAGAACTATCGGTGGCGCATATCCCACCAGCTTATTGAGAGATTCAAACACGTGACTTTCCGGTTAGCAGGTAAACACCAGGCATATCAGTTGGCCACCGGCTAAACAGCAGTAAATTTATTACACAAAAGTGCTCAAGTACCATTATCCTGCAGTCACACAGCTCACTTGATTCAAGGTACCTGTGACAGCGAAATCACGTGGTTTGAACCTTTGAAGACAATCTCGATAAAGTTCTTCAAAAGTTCTATGAATTAGAACAGCATGAGGGATGCGAACCATGGATTTTTGACACTTTGAACGTTTCCGTCCTTGTTAATACTAATAATGTAGGTGTCTTTGATCCCTTGTGTGCAACATCGTCTCGGCCGTTCACCAACCTTATAACTGTTGCGTGCTTTCGAGTTATCATAAAGAGTATTCTCCAAATAATTCCATCTTGTGTCATTCTTCCAAGAACAGTTACCACCAGAAAAGTAGTTGTAACAGGTTCTCCAACAGACAACATTTGCGACAAGATTGTGACCGGGCTAACGGTTCGATTGACACTTCCACATGCTATCACGTGGGCTACAAATGAAACAGAACAGGCAGCATGAGTGTCGTCTTTATCACCTGAATAACACGTGAGTGAGTGTCTGAAAAACAAACCTCTGTAATTCTTCGGCCACTCCACTACCCGAACTGTCCGTGGAGTTTAACTGATCGTCTGCGTCACAGTTTGACGCAACTACAATAGTACCCAGTTATTACCTAGAATGGTTATTGAGTCGCTTTGCAGCTATTGTTGTGTGCATGTTGCGATTCCACTCAAGATATCATAGCGTTTGTAAAGGCAATTCGAAATTTTGCTTTAGTCGAACTACCGAGTGACGTTTAACAGCTAGTCATTCTACTGACTACCAGCTGAATTGCGTAAAACGTTTCCGAGCTTTCCAATATTATGTGAAACTAATAAGTACCCAGCTGAACGTCGTAGACTAGACTCGGTTTGCCCATAGCCTTGGGATAAAAATTCGCAGCACGGATTTGAGCAGTTGGTCCTTTATTCGCTCACCGAGCTTGGAAGGTAACCTGCGAACGCAAAATCTAAGCCAGATTTTTAACTACGGCTGTCTCCTCTGTGTAGACGCTGTCTATACTGCCTCACACGTACTGGGTATTTAAAAAACCTATGGCGACGAGGTCCGGACAGACCTGTGAATTACAGTGATCAGTGAGGCAGTTTCTAGTGGAGAGGTTATATTAGTTGGGGCTATAAAAACCCACTTCCAACTCGTAACCGGAAAGAAACAATCAGCGTGATTACGCAAAATGAGGATAACACAATCGCTCATGTTTCACGGCTCAACTCGTTAAAAAGTCAAAAGCTGAAACTACTATGCATCAATAAGGGAAGTTATATAAGCACATCATCCGAGAAAATATAAAAATGATGTATATCAGCCAGCATCCACCCCTAAAGTGGTGAATTTGGAACATTTATCCATTGTTCAGCGAAATCCGAATATAGTCCACATTTTGAACGCTGCCTAGGTCAAATTGAGCGCTGACCCATGTGAGTCATCTGTTCTCCTTTAAGTGTAGGGCCGGGCGTATGTCTGAATTTTCAATTTGTTTTACTCATCAATGTAATAACTTCCGTTTATGCCGAGTGTTGGTTTAATTCACCAAGAGCAGAACTTTCTTGGCGTAAAGGAAATTGTTGATACTATCAACAGTTTTTTGTTTATCTTAATTAATACCAGTGGAATGAAGAAGGCCTTTGCTGCGGGACTGTTTATTGGAAAACCAACTGCACAGTTACAGATTGTTGGACAGGGAAACGAAACCCTCATATGCATCTTGTTTACAAAAACTGAATATACGTATTCTACTTAAATGCGTCTTCCCGGACTTTCCTGGATATTACTTGACTGTTACCAAAATGCAGGCAAATGCTACAAAGCGACTCCACAAATTCCGTAACAGATCTCGCTTTTCAAGAGACGCGAAGAGGATTTACGAGAAAACATACTACTGGCATACCTCATCAGTAGTATCCAGAGTTACACCAGTAACAACTTTGCAGTCATTACGTTACAAAGTTCCAATTTGTAGACTTCTAATTTTTCCCCTGAAAAATATCTTTAAAAGCTTTTGGAATAAAAAGCACAAGCTGTCCACGTTTTGACCGATTTTGGCACAATACCATACACTTTTGATCACTTTTATCTCCTCAGGAACTGGCTTCTAATCAATCCACTGTCGATACCCTAAGAAAGCAGATAGAGAAGGAGACACTGAAGAAGGCCGACTTGGAAAATAAAATTAACAAAGAGTTACAGATCTCGCTTTCAAGAGACGCGAAGAGGATTTACGAGAAAACATACTACTGGCATACCTCATCAGTAGTATCCAGAGTTACACCAGTAACAACTTTGCAGTCATTACGTTACAAAGTTCCAATTTGTAGACTTCTAATTTTTCCCCTGAAAAATATCTTTAAAAGCTTTTGGAATAAAAAGCACAAGCTGTCCACGTTTTGACCGATTTTGGCACAATACCATACACTTTTGATCACTTTTATCTCCTCAGGAACTGGCTTCTAATCAATCCACTGTCGATACCCTAAGAAAGCAGATAGAGAAGGAGACACTGAAGAAGGCCGACTTGGAAAATAAAATTAACAAAGAGTTACGTAACAGGCTCACGGCGAAAAAATCAATGCAATATGTGAATAAGCTGAACGTAACTGTTCAAGATCAAAGTCGGGAGCTCATCACGCAGGTGAGTTGTTGCAATGCTCTTTGTACAACAGTTCAGCTTTCGCCTTCTCAAGGTGTTTAACTACGCTGCTCTCTCCAGTGGAGACCACGTATCCAGTGTGCACTAGAGCTCCATTTGAAGACTGTATTCCGCATTAATGATTGCTGAGTTTTCGTCTACTTTGGGAAGATTTAACTCCTTACACAGAGTCCGGTAAAGTATGACCCAACCGAAAAGAATGAAGAATTTCCTGAAGAGTCTCAGTGCTCTCGGTGTAGTTCACTACATAACTACCTTAGGTAAGATTGCGTGCTTGATGAAAAATGGAGTTGAAAGGTGGTGTTGGCGGAGGTCATACCGTCAGTGTACCTAGATTGTCTTATTGACATTTGAACATGTGGGCCATTCGGATATTTATAATGGCTAGCATTGGACTCATTTCTCTTATTTCTTTCCATTCCACGGCTTTATGTTACTCAAATAATACTGCTCTACAGCAGAGAAACATTAGTGTTTTAGAGTACAATCGCTGTTATAAACTGTAGGGATGAACATGATTCCTCCACTTTGCAGTGAAGCGAAAATTGTTTAATTAGTGTGGGGTTAAGTTAACCTGAAAACTCAATGTGGGCAAAACATTCGTCATAGAAGTGAGGTTACATGAGGAACGCTTATATGTGCTCTTATAGCAGATGCAACTACTCAGTTATCCGACAGTGGCGCAACACAATAATGGAAGCAATGGGTTATCGGTCAATAATGAAGGACTAGTTTACATAGGGGATCATAATTCTGATTTCCGACGCCGTTTTATTTATTTTAATTGCATTCGGTGGCTCAAACCTACTTCAATGAAATCATCAGTATCAAAAGTGTTCGCTGAAGCTGTAGTGTTTAAAATAGAGCGCATGATTCTACCAATCCGCGATTCAAAATTGTGGATCCTCCGGATGGATGACATTTTTGTCACTGTCACTAAACTCAGTACACGATACACACGAATTGTTCAAAGCCAGATTTGAAGATATCAAACCTAAAATGTAACTAGAAAGGAACGACTGTTTAGGTGGACAAGAAGGTGGGTTGAAGCATAGGAACGGCGAGCTGATACAGACGGCACAAATACCGAACGGCAATAGCAACCATTCAATGAGTCGCAAGAAGCGCGGAGAAGACGAGCGGAGAAACGCTGCACCACCACAAAACTGAGAAAAAGGGAGAACTTCATCTTCTAGAATATTTAAAAACAATGAATATACAAGTAATTCTGTCAAAAGGATACCAAAGCATAAGACTTTTCAGCAGAGACAATGGTGAAAAAGAAATGGCAGAGGAATATTTTCAAAACAATGTTGAACTGACAGTAAAACTATTATATCACAATGGGATCCTTTCAGTCCAAAAACCAAGTACTTCTTTAAAAAAGCTGATCTTAGGTTTCATAGAAAACTGACAAAACCCAGTAACAACCAGAGCAGGTTCTATGCTCGGAAAACTTGTAGGAACATATGTGATCGTATAAAAAAGACGTTACTACTTACGAATTGTCGCCATACACGAAGAAACAGGACACAAATGTAACCTCGAAAACGCGAAAATATTTGCACATTGTGACAACAAAAACAGAATAGAGCGGACTATGACAATAGAACGTCAGCTCCAGGCATGATACCACACAGGCCGACATACCGCTACGTTATGCTGTGGTGAAAAACGTTGTGTGCCACAGGACTTTGCAATTTTATTGAAGGGGTTCTCTGCTCAGAGTTCCTATGAAGCCCTGAATTTCTGGCCAAGCCAAAGTCCCCACACTCTTATTCGTCTTCACGTGAAATAGATATGGGTTGTCGAAGATACCCTTCTACTGGATCTAGTTTTAAGCATAATTGCCTGAAATGTATAGAACCACCGTCTGGTATCGGGTTAACTTATTTCATGTGTATTTAATGCAATACAAAAAGAAAGAGATCAATTTGAATATATTGACGTCCAACTAGCCCATCTAGCCACTGAACACTCTTGTTAAAAGCATTTTTCAAATTACTGCGATACACAATTATCTTAACGCAGATTACCCAACTGGAAAATCAAATCGCTAGGGACGATTTGGCTACGGCGGTGAAAAAAGCGGAAAACCAGAGAATAAAGGAGAAAATTCAAGAAGTCGAGCGAGAAATTCAAGAACGCAACGGGCTAATTAACAAGTTGGAAGCTGAGATCCATCATGCCACTGTCATGGTGGAACGAAAACAAGGTGCCATAGATCTACTGAACAAAAAACTTGACCGTCTCTTGCAAGAATCCGGGGTAAGTATGGACCATTTTACTGTTTTATGACGAAAAACAGGTCAATGTCCTCTTGTCATAAACTTACACCACTTCCGAATGTTATTTAGTATCTCACCATGGTTATTGCTTTCATTAACGGCAGTTGCATCTGCACACTGAATGAGTTTACATTGACGATCTGGTTACATTAGTCAAAGGAGTCCAGCACACATATTCAACAGCTACACTATCGATCTCATCGGTCACAGCCTTTGTAGACTCCGGCGATATTCTCAAAGTCAGTGCTGCTAACCTAGTTCAGTAACTGGTGATACAATGAAAATAGCAACGCAACTTACATCCGTAAGCTATGGATTGAACTAATATTTTCGAACGACAAGTGTTCGAGGGTTCCATTCCTTGCATAATCCTTGAATTCATCTGTCACTCACTCGGGACAAAACTTGCTCCAACAGCTCACCATCAATGAGAATCTAAGGCTAAACGCTAGCAAGCGACTGTGTTGGTCTTTTCACAATGGCCCGTAAGGTGAAGAGATTACCTATATCAGGGACTGATGTCATACACAAATTTGAATCCCGTGCATGGGAGATGCAGCAGTGAGTGGCCTTTTCAGTTTTTGCCGTGATCACTATTCCTTGAAGTAATCTTTTCATTTCTAGGGTGTGGAAATGGGACCACTGGGGGCGATGATTGCCAACCTAACGAAAGCTGTCAACGCAAAACAAGAGGAGATTGGCGAACTGGAACAGCAATGGCTGAAAGAGCAAAATGAATTAGTGCGTCAGATGAACGAGCGTGACAATTTAACAAAGATGGTGGAACGGCTGCGAAAACAGTTGACTATCCTGGCTCAAAAAAAGCTGAGAATGGATAGTGAGTGAAAAGTGTCATATACCTTAGATTGTCAACAACTCTATTTCGTGGACCGACTGCACCCTATTCCGCCACGTTGAGCTTCAAGGTACAAACTTTTCAAGGGTTTTACACTTGAAGTTTACTTATACACTTCTTTGTCGGACTCAGAGAGTAACTAGTTAGTCCAACTGCATCAGCCCTCATGGAACATTTGTGAATGAAATTACATTTCGTTTGAAAAACGCAGCTTCATCCTCCAGTACATGGTTGTCACCCCGCTTCCAAACCGGTCATTCTATCTTGGTGAAATGTACCTTTTCTAAGGTTACTTTACCAGCTATGCGCCACCAACGACTTAGGAGGACTGTTTCGCCTACATTAATGACTCCATACGTTTTGTTCGGTTCCATTTCCAATCCCCACGTGAGCTCTACAAACCATCTCAAAAAGACCGTACGCACTGTGTTAGCGCACGACAACTAGATTCACGTCTATGCGTACTTTATTGAACAGTATGCTTGACATTGTGCCTCATGTGACCCAATTTCACCCGTCCATTGGCTTAGTCGACCGTGTTCTGCTTCAGACTACCTGTGCTCATCAATTTGACTATCCCGTTTTTCTCTCAAGCCGTTTGCACTCATCAAATAATGACATTTCCTTAAGACCAGTTGAAGTTTTCCGACTCTCGCCAATACTACCGGTTTTGAGGAGGCATCAGTCGCACATATACAGTGAAATTACACAAATACTGTGGAAAGTCAATATGACTCACATTCCGATGTTACTGAATACATGGACCAAACTAAGGAACCCGCATTAATGAGATCCGCTGAACTCAGTTAAGATGAAGAGCGGGTATCAACAAGTGAAATACAAAGTCATTCCAAGATAAATATATTTAACTACTCGTTTGACTGTTTCGTTCTCCCCTATGAGGGTCCAAATGAATGTCGAGTACACGAAGCTGCATTTTAGAAAAAACGTGAAGAAGCGACATTTATTTCAGCCTGAGGTTTTGCTTAAGTATGAGTTCATCCTTCTGAAGGGCTCATCTGAACACATGTGAGAAGCTAATAGCAAGCGAAATTTTCTCTGGACTAGGATGTGATCTTTGGGTCTTCTCGACAGCGAAAAACTTCAGCTAACAAAGAAGTCATTCTCTCAGGTGACTAGTATGTGAAAAATCTTATTGCCTTGCTTGCCTTTCAACCGTTTGAGTACTTCTGCTGATTCTATCCTGAAGACCATTGGGATGAAGATGTGTTTTTCTCAGGTAATCCTCAGGAAATCATACTGGTTTTTTGAAAAGCCTTGTAGCGGTTTAACATAGGATGTTGGACAGCTTTGAATGTATTTACTTTGCCACACTTTATGCCGTAAGTTGAAGGAGGCTGAAAAGCCTGGCACACCAAATCAGCGCACCACCGACACACCTTGCTGACATTTAATTTTTCGTAACCCCATTTTTAAATCTATTTACCCCCCATTAGTTCGAGCCGTTACAAACCTAGGATAAACAAAACGCAATTTTAATTTTCGAGCCATAATTGACGATTACCTGCTGCGTCACACCTGAGACTGATAAGCATGTGCTCAATACAATGCTAAAGGAACACGGGGGTTATGCTAGTGTTGCGCAATTTTTAAAGCAACCAAATTGGTGGACGATTTCCATTTGGATTTCCCGGCTTTGAGACCTATTCAACTGCCCACCATTAGTGTTCTGTCCGCTGTGTTCAGTCAAAAACTGTGACAAGCACGAAAGCCAAAGAGGCGTGCAGTGGATGATGATGATGGCAGTTGATAAATGTGCGTTGGACGTTGACAAATAGATTTTTAATCGAATAAGTCAGAAATATATGGACACCATTTGGTTCCCGTTAAATTCCACAATTTCTCTGCAGTTCATTGGCATCCGGTGAATGGATGCTCGATGGAGGGTACTGTGATGGATCGAGAACTAGCTGAATGTCGCAAACATTGTTTGTCCACTTTACTCAGTATCGAGTTTCTTTGCAAACCCACTGGGGGAATGGTGCAATTTGGTTTGCGATCATGAAACTGAGTGATTTCACCAGTATGCCCCCCCGCACACAAACGGAACCATTTAGAATAGTAAATTGTTTTAATACCAGGCCGACAGGACATACTTGGAAAGCGGGTAATGGATGACCGGAGGGTTCAGGTTATGGTCCCAAAGGAAACAATTTTTGTGAATCGTTCGAAACAAGCCAAGCTAAAGAGCCTTGGAAGTGGAATATACGACCAAAATTACGTAAAATATTGGTCAGTGAAATGGGTGCGGGTTGGCATTTTAACACTTTGATGCTTCTGTTGCATTTTAAAAGTGCCGTAAGAGTTTTTGTCGTAACAATATCCATTGGTATAAAGATTTCTCGATAAAGAGAACAACACTAGGCGAATGACGCTGCGACGCTTCAAATACCACCCATTTGTTCACTTCAACCCACAGACGAAATTGCAATACAGGAACGAGAAAAAGCCGAATTAGAGCGGGAACTAAAGCATCTGCAGAACGACACTGGCAGGCTGAATGGGTTGATTGCCAAAGAAAAGGCGGTTGGAGAAAACCTGACTAATGAGAATAAACTGGCCGAAACGGATTTCGTGCGTATGCTTCGTGAAAAGGAGATGGAGGTGGCAGAACTTCAGGGTAAATTGGACGAGTTAAAACAAGAACGAGAAGATATGCTCAACGAATTGGTTGAAGTGGAGTACGTTCTTTTACAAGAATTAAACGCATTGCGTTCAACTCGAGTAATGATGCCAGGAGATGGATCTCTCCGCATGGCTCAATATCCATAAAAAGCAGTTACTATTGTTATGTTGTGTAAACGAATGCAGTTTGACTCCGGTATTTATTATTGACATATTCCAGTCCTTAATACCCAAGATTATTATAAAAACGTCACACTAGTTTATTCCAGTGGGCGTATCGCCATAGAAATTAACGCCATTTATTCTGTGGTAATAAAAAGACTATTCTCACATTTCAGAGTTAAATCACTATTTGACACTTAGGTGACTTGGATATGCCGTCTGAAGTAGCTTCTAGATGTTTCGGAATTGATGACTTATAAGGCTTCAGAGTTTATGATTGCGGTTGGCAACATTTCTATTCGGGCCTAGCAAGCTATAAACTTTGAATTTCTAGATGAAATATCTCTGGAGACAGAATACTGCCTTTTACTGACACACCGCAAAGCTTACATCTCAGGTGCACACTGACGATGTGAGTTAGTGTACAACACGCCGCATGCATTTTGCGGTGTATATCACGAAACACCATTGGAAAAATACGCAAAATGAACAACAGTATCCATCATTAGAATGCGCGAACCGACTCACCCATCAGAGTAGTTTAAACGATATGACGTATCGGTTCTGTTTGTAATTTCGGCTTCCACCTTCCCGTATCAGTAGATTGAGTAAACTACGGTATTTTACAGCTTAAGGTCCTGTGGAACGCAGCCGCCAGACCGATGCAGCGTCCACTTTCATCAAAATAAAGGACTCTAGATAAAGCCGGTGTCAGTCGTACACTCACCTCCGAACCTGAATTTGTATTTTGGTTTGCTGAACCCAAGCTGGGGCGTGTTTCATTGTTGGAGTCGAAGTTGCTTTTCATTCCTATCAAGGCGGCTGAGTGTTAATAATTAAAACGATACATAAGATTGCGGATGATGTACCGAAGTAATGGAACCTCCACAACAGAGGTATAGCTGCCCACTGGTTCGACAGTGTCCTTGGATCGCTTATTAGCCGAGGTCGAACGGCGCTCTATCAGCCCACTAATGTCGTATCCTCTGCATTTCAAAACCGTGAAATCTGTTTTTGGGACCAAACAGATCCGCACCTTTTTAACCTGAAGAATGTGTTCATTTAAAAATTCCAGTGCTATTCATTTGAGTGAACTACCCTCGGGATCGCTTGTATCTTTCATTCAACTTCTTTTTGAGCTATCCAGTAGCGTTCTTAGTAAACATGCCATAGCGCTTCGGCACAAAACTTCCTGGATGGAGGTACTGATAGGTCCGATTGTGCTACTGATGGACTGTTTCACGAAGTGCTTCATCTGGATGGGCCAGCTGGGTAATGAGAAAGGCAATTTTGTCATTCATCTAGTGTTAAGGTGTTAACTTTATATTTGGATGGGTGGTGGTAAGATCTTGGAAGAGCTCCGATACTTTTTGCACTTATGTTGTTACAATTAAATCTTCATCGATCCGTCCGTCTTCAGCTTTCTTAGGTTCAACTGTGTAGCCAACTTGCTCTTAGAATTTGGCATGGATAGATCAGCTAGGACAGGGACAAGCGAGCTTCTGAAGGCGACTTCTTCAAACTTTCCGTGTCTCCGACCCTGGAACTCGGAAGCAATATCATGCACAAATGGGAAAACTTCTTCTCCTCTGTTGTTTTTATTCTACAGTTAATATCAATTGCATGAAAAAAAGCCATACGTGATTTAGGCGGTCTCACCCTGAACAAGGATGTAATGCCTAAAACCTGTCCAACCTTGAACATTCAATGGAAACTAAATCTCAGATGTAGGTTTCAGTGTTTGTACCAACCATTTTGTTAGTTTTGAGGAGAGCTTCCATCAGTAGGATGGACCTAAGGAGAATGTTTTGCTTGTGCAGTATAGTAAGACTATGGGGTTGCGATAGCAGTTATCTCAGCTTCAAGAAGTTGGCCCTTGTTTTGGAGGCCAATCGGTCATCTACTAGGGACTGCAACTCTGGAGACAACTTTCCCAAAATCACACCTTCAGAACCTTGTAAGGTCACCCAGATTTGATTCGACAGCGGCGTTTCGCACCGTGACCACCAACGATAAGGTGTTGTAGTTTTGTAGATCGATTTCTACCGGAACATGGCAATCATATATGAAGAAACTGGTCATAACGCTGGCACTCGCGCCGTGATTGGCATGTTTTCAAGATCCCGAAAATTAAGACGCATATTCAGTTTAATCTATTTACTTCATATTTTTTATGTATATACCAGAATTATAAAGCGAAATATATCCGGTGCGTCGTGCACCATCCCATTCCCCAGTTCTCTCTTCATGTTTGTGACGGACAAGTCGTATTTAATGCTTTTCAAAAAGTTATCAACATTGTTGTTAGCGAAGCAAATGTAATCTGGTTTTCAGCTTCCCAGTAATAGGTCATTTAATCGAAATCGTTTTCTATTTGACTCCTAGACGCACTATTATGCTCTGGGAGAAGAAAGTTCAACTATGTGAGGAAACGAAGGATGCCGTTGAATGTCGTCTTGGACAAGGCGAAATGAGTGTGATGAGACATGAGATTCACCGAATGGAAGTCAGGAAGAGCTCACTATTAAATCAGCAGGAGAAACTTTTACAAGCTTTGGAGCGGTCCGTGGCCAAGTAAGTCTTCAGTGAATTTGTGGTTTTCAATGTGCTTTCAGTTAGAAGAACTATTATCTCCCCAATCTTTGCGTGGCCTTCGTGCAACGCGTCACGTGATGTCGCCTTGTTTGCGGCCCTGTGAATCTTTCATAAAGTGTTGGAATATTTCAGCTTGTTATTCTAGTCCTTTTGTGACTGTGTGTAAATCAGTGCTGATTCCACCTAACCAGAAGTCGCTAGGCGAATACCTTAATGATCTAGCAAAATCAGCTAGGATGCTCAGTCAGTCATCTACATATCATTTGAAAAATATGGGTATACGTCCCGCACCTAGCTGACCAAGAATTTCCTCTACTCCATCATCATTAAACAAAAACAACCCTCGTCTGTTCATGCGTACTTTAAGAGAATTGTACTAGTGAAATGAAGAAGGCTTTTGCTGCGGAGATATTTATTAGGAAATGCCAACTGACCGGTTACAGACCATTGGACAGGGAAGCAAAACTCATATGCATCTTATTTACAAAAACTGGACATCTTTCTCCTCCTGAACGCGTCTTCTTGAACGTTTCTGGATATTCATTGACTCCAATCATTCATTGCTCAAATCCAAGCAAATGTTACAAAACGACTCCACAAATTCCACAACACTAGCTCTGCTGGTTACGGATTTATGAGGTTGCCAAGGCAAGAAGAAATTAAGTGCAAGTAGTGTGTTGCTGAATTATATGGGGGTTAGAAAAGAAGGCGAAAGACGGAAAGTTCGAATAACCTACAGCTAAGTCCTTCAAGTTGCCTTGCGGGATGGGAAAAGTCGTAAAATCTGAATTGTTAAAAAGTATGATAGGAAACGTATTTGTTCACTACAGCATTTGAATGGTTTATCATAAGTGCCTTATTGATGTGTTCCCAGTTTTTCAGTGACTGATCAGCAAAACCACGTTTGGCGGCAAAACCTGCCTAATTCATCACTGTGTTTCCACCAAGATGCCAACTACTATTGGGGCAATCGTGCAAGTGATGCAGTCCGTCATCAGTTCCCACAGTGTGACCTTACGATAGGCTCAAAATGACTGAATCCAGATACAGAAACATATAAAATCGCAGTTTGGCCTTTCATCAACCCAATGGATCGATATAAGTCTACATGCACTCATACGATGTCTCTGATTGGCCACTCGAAATGTCATCACACCTATTGTGGCTCATCTCTGAGAAATACTGACAGATCTGAATTCCAAAGGAATTCTATAACCTCAAACGGTAAACCTGGTGAGCAGTTAAGAAACCGGGGTGAATGCATAACTACATGTAATACTGAATTCTGCACATAAACCGCCTCAAACCTAAAGACTCATCTTCAACGGAAGAGTACTTTACTGTACAAAGCCAAGCTTTCTTGCGTATTACTTCAAACGGTTTCGTCGTCCTTTTCCTTGCGGTGTTTTACTCCAGCAGTTTGTTTTTCATGGCTTTCTAGATGCTACTGCGATGCAAGCAAAACCTCAAGGTACAAAGCACAGCGTTTCACTTTGTTTAGAGCAAATATTTGGAAGAAATGGAATGAAAAACATTTAAACTTTATGTATATTACTTTGAGGTGTGATTTATAGCGAAGGCACTTGTACCGTTAGTTTCTGTCCAGATTATCCGGTTGAGCACTTAGAGATACAGTCACTTCATAATGCTCGTGATAGGCCAGCGTCATACCTGAGACAATAAATGCTGTCATGGCAACGGCTTTCCGTGACACTGTGTAAGCGTCTTATCAATAAAACAATACCAACTGAATCAGAAAAGCTGCTTTTGCCGAAAATTTGGTGAATTCCGACAGTATTTAGTCCATTGTTACAGGAGATCAAGCTAAAACCGCTCAGTGATATATTCTCAATGGAGAAATTCATCATGAAGGATGAATTCGTTTTTTCGTACTTTACGCTGAATTTCCTTAGTCAGAACTTTAAGAAAAGTACAATGTGCTACCAGAAAGTAATCATCAACTTGAAGGTGACTAACCATTAGATCAACTCAAACCACAGCGGAAAATGGCATTGGGAAACCTAGCCATGTGCTGTCACAAAATGTTTTTTTCGGTTTACCCCACTCAGCTCAGGTGCCTTAAAGTTGAACACAACCGGATTTAAAATTCATACCGGAGGTTTGTTTTCAACAGCGAGCCTGAAAGCAAAGCGTCTGCTATTATGAAGCATCAAGGGCTAGTATGTATGGAATCAAAAGAACACCCCGTTCTAGATTACTAGTTCTCTTGGTAGTTAGTCAGTAGCCTAAGTTGGGTAACGTAGAACACGGATATTTGAAAGAACAACACAATTTATTTTTGCGAATTGCGTAGCGTGTCTGTAGGTCTGCTGGTTTAGATTCTACGCAGTTTGCTTTCCAGTGAGGCCTCTGACGGGTTTGAATAGATCCACTTTGAAGACTTGAGTTAAACAACAGCGTCCTGAGTATGGAAAACTACCAGTACTAAAACCTAGGAATGAACTACTACCCAACACTCTAAATATCCATTTTCAAGCTCACAATATTTTGACTGGGTTGTCGGCTCTTGCTTACTCGACAGCAAATCTGCCACATGTGGTCAGAAATGTTTCAACGAGGGTCAAATGACAATAGTAAATTGGTCACTATGTCACTGTTCTTTGTTGTCCTTGGCCTCAAGTTATTCCACACATCATAACTGCTTAGTGTGTGTGAGTATGTGCCAGCTCTTGTGTTACTGCACTTACTCAATTGTTACTTCCGAGATACTAAACAAAATCAATATAATAGTTTTCCAAAACTAACACAAAACATGCCAGGAAAACAGTATTTACATAATTTGACTCAGTTTATTTGCATCCGGAACTTATTTTCACAGAAATTTCGGCCCCAAAAATTCCAGTCTGGCGTTGAAGCACGTCATTTGGTTCTGAACAATTCAGGCCGTAAAGGTTTCCGCCCCGAGTTTTACATAATGAAGTTTGAGTCCGTAAATGAGCCACGGACTACTCATTCCAGTAACCACTCATCTCTCTCAAGTTAATTATATTACATTGTCGTCGGTGATATCTCCTCATTGTCAGAATACATTTGTTTAGCACAGTGTGTCGTAATACTGGTACCCCGAGTGGATTTTGTGAGGGTTGATCAGATGACCGTTTCTCTATTCACCAAGTTTGGCAATGGTCTGCAAATATTTCGTCCACAGTCGAGGAGACATCGTCATTGCGCGGTTGATTGGGTATTTCTTCTTCCTTGAGCTCCGCCTATATAGTTTTGGAAAGTATCTAATATCCTCTCACGTGGTTGTTCAATCAGTATATACCTCATCCGTAATATTATTTGCCCGCTTGCAATTTGCGTTGCGTTGTGGTCTGTATATCTTTTATTCCTCCAGATGGTTGAAAAGCTTCTCTGGGGTACTTCAATTTCACTTGCGATTTGTCTGTTTCACGGTCTTTGTTTCGCCATGGTCTTTCTTACTTAAGCTTGGTTGATCTTAATGGCGATTTCTATTTTGTTGAAGCGCCTGGAGCAGTTCAGTCGAAAACTACGTCTGGTATCCGGGCCGGAAGCTGTCGACGGGTAGACAGACACATAATTCTTTGGCTCGTAATTAAGGTTCAAATTTCTAGCACAGCATTTTGACCTATGCCGGCTCGATTGTTCTGATGCAACCCTTTGTCCTGCAAACTCCTGCGAATGCACTGAATGAAAATATCCTGTGACTGTTCGTTCTCCTATGTGCCTGCGCATAATTATCTGCAAATTTTCTCGTCAAAGGTGGCAGCCTTTCCGACAGGTCCAGTGATTTTAGGTACAGCAAAGATTTTATCCTTCAATGCATCTTCATATTGAGGGAACGTACTATGTAGCTTATATTTCTCCTTCCCTAGAGCAAACTTTTTCCTCGCTGGACTAATTTCGTTCAATTATGCCACACCTCTTTTGGGACAGAAATACCGCGTTCTCAAGCTCTATTTTTTTCAGCTTTTTTTTGCCTGAACAACTTGAAGATACAAACCAAGATGTGATTCATCATTCTCGCTTGCTTCAAGTCAATGATTTACAAGGACAGATAGTGTGATGGTTAGAGCTAAAGTTTGGTAGGGAAACTCATCGTAAGCTTTCTCAGTCTCTACAGCGTTCAAGTCTGACCAAGTAAGAAGTAACAGTTGAGCTACGAGTGCCATCAGAATACCACTGATTTTGTCATTAGAACTTTTAAAAACTCAAAATTATTTCTTTAGTGACCTTTTACATGTTCTAGCTGACAAGGGAACTAAACTCTAAAACTGATGAGAAAACTGTGGATGGCTTAGTAACTGCAGAGCCAGGCTACTCAGACAGTATTCTACAAGATCATTACGAGCACCGTAGTAGCCAATGGTGTAATAAGCCAAATGTTCGAGCTAATATATCAGTAAAATAATTGCTGCATCGGCTGGTGGCTACAAAACTGTTAGTTTGATTGATAGAACCACCTCTGCCTGCAGAGTTTTCTGAATAAGCTATTTTGTGAGCACATCGGTTTCCTCTACGAGTGAACATTAATGAATGGTGTTGTATATTGTACAGACGCGAACTTATTGTGGCGCAATCTGAAACACAAAGACACCAGCAAAACAGAGCCAATCTCCGCATCACAGCACAGCGACATCTCGAAGAACTGAAGAAAAAGGTCAAGGGTACCAAGCAGGTGAGCCTTCTCCATAACTGGCAGTCTGGATCCAAGTTGACATAAAACTCATTGGATCATGTTGGTCAGTTGGTCATGTTGGTCAGTCAAACAAACGTTTTTAAAGTGCCGTATCACTAGAGTGACTCCTGTACTACCATTCCGTTTCTACTTTACAGCAGACCCTCCAACTGGATTTGTTCTCTTCATCTTGGCTCTTGGCACGCATAAAATATCCTGTTAGATGAACTTACTTTCATCCACCAATTTGTCGCCAGTACGTCACCGGCTTTATATAGCCCCATCCAAAGTGCATATACTTAACTTATAGAACTTTAGTGACCTTACGGAAGGAATACTCCCGGATGTAGTCCTCCAAAAACCAAGTCACCTTACATTAGCAACCCATAGTTACGGGGTAACTGTGCCAGTTTTATTGGTTAAAGTCCACTTGTTAACAAGGTTGAAATGGTTAGTAATATAGACTTAATGAAAACTCAGAGCGGTCCTTATGACCTTCACCTGTGCCCTTGTTATCGGAGAGGCCAGTTAACATGAGGCCATCTACCTTGAATCAGCATTGTTTTAGATTGACTGATGTTATTTTTGTTAACCTATGTTATTGAGCGTTTAACGATCTGATTACACTACCGTCCTCAGGACCTACACAGTCTGTCTCGAACGAATGGCATTTAAACTCATCAGGATTTACTAAAAATCTTACCCTTGATAATTGTTGCACCATTTCTGATTGCGTCTACCAGAGAGGTATTCGCAGCGCAGTCAAAAATGGGATTGAAAGTTTATTAATACTACGAATGAAAATAAGCCACAAACCGGGGAATGGTGTTTTTAAATTACACTTTTTCAGTGAACTTTACACAGATTCATAGAGGAGAACGTCGGTAGCTCAGGTAGCGTAGATGGTCGTTGGCTTGTTCGCTGAACTGGGCAATTTGGTTGCAAACGTTTCATCACCAATCGAGGTGACATCATCAGTGCGTAGTTGTGCGTAGCGGTGGGTAAGTGGTTGTGCATTCAGTAGTGTTACGTGTGTGTTGATATACGTGCTGGTAGCCGGGGATGACCTTTGACCGCGATTAGTTATTCTGTCGGGCGGTTCCATTGGTTGTTCTTTTTATCCCGTGTCCTCATTCGCCGATGCCCACGTGACTTTTCAACTTGGCATCCCTCGCCGTCGTAGTCTAGTCGATGTTGGAGTGACCTCTGTCCTTCCGAGTTCCGGTTGTCACCTTTATTGATTTGACTCCGAGGAGTTCCTTGTTTCTTCGTTTGTGAATCCATTATTCGAAGAAACAAGGAACGAAGAAACAAGGAACTCCTCGGAGTCAAATCAATAAAGGTGACAACCGGAACTCGGAAGGACAGAGGTCACTCCAACATCGACTAGACTACGACGGCGAGGGATGCCAAGTTGAAAAGTCACGTGGGCATCGGCGAATGAGGACACGGGATAAAAAGAACAACCAATGGAACCGCCCGACAGAATAACTAATCGCGGTCAAAGGTCATCCCCGGCTACCAGCACGTATATCAACACACACGTAACACTACTGAATGCACAACCACTTACCCACCGCTACGCACAACTACGCACTGATGATGTCACCTCGATTGGTGATGAAACGTTTGCAACCAAATTGCCCAGTTCAGCGAACAAGCCAACGACCAAACAGATCCATTTTTTCGAGTGACCGTAGGGACCAGTGTAAAGTGAATGAGGGAGATTTCACAGATAAGAGACAATGCATCCAAAATTACTGGGATCCATAGTCAGTAATGTGCTGCACTCTAATCTCGGATAAGAAGTCCATTCATGGTGAACCCAACACACGACCGGTACAGCAGTGACCTCAAAGCAGCCTATTAGGGTAACAATGAAAAAAGGCGCTAGCTGAGAAGTGACCAGATGTTTATCTTTGGCTCCAATATCAAATTTCAATTTATTTCCAAGCTAAGTGTGATGTATGTGGGAAAAACTTCTGTAAAAAATCAGACCTGTAGAATCTAGAGTTGGAAGATTCATGTGTAATTCATGTAATAACTTTATGAGGCAACTATGGATAACTCCACATTATTGGACGTCTTAAAAAGCACGCATTCCGAATTTACGTTCCACTTCAACCACTCCGTTATTTAAAAAATTTCATAGACGTTAGATTTTCATTTTATAGTTAGCACATCGGACGATGCATTGACAGTTATGGATAACGAAAATTAAGTGTAATGCTGAGGAACGGAGCGACAGGCTGATGCAGAAATGCATATTTCTGGACTGAAACTGTTCTGAGGACAAGTTGAGGCGGTTCCTAAAACAAATGTTCCTAAAACTTTTGTCACGCATTATAATTAACAGTTCTCAACTAGTAATCACCTGCACGATCTCAGTGTGTATGTGCAATAATGGTTCATGTTTAATGGAAACAGAAGCCATTCTTTTTTCTTTTTGCCGGACATCAAGTGCCGGTCGTTTTACATGTACGTTTACCGATCTTGATTTAATCCAATAATTATAGTTGGCGAATAACTGCAATACGGAAATCAAAGAACTGGAGGAGAAACTGGTGGAATTGGAACAAGAATTGTTTTCGAAACGCCAGGATTTCGAAAGTGAGCAGAAACTAATGGATGAACTCACTGAGAAATTGCAGTGTCTTGCTAACGACAAACAAATGGTGAGGATTGTTGTCTGCAAATCTGGAACTGCCAGTAATGGGAACAATGTCCACAGTATTGTGTGAAAATATCTTGACCGTGTAAACATTTTTGTGCACTTTTTGGACAAGTGCTTTCCGGTTTGATGACAGTTGAAGTAACCTGAATCCTGAAAGCAACATGACAACGAGCCAAAAATGAGCTAATCGTCGGAGTGAATATTTAGCTCTACGAAAAATAGTGATCCACAGTGGAACGCAAACTCAGTTGAAAATATGCGCGGTAAAATTTGCTACATGTTTTCTCACATAATGGATGAGAAATCTTATACCCCTAATGTGTAACCCAGACCTGTATTTCTAAGGTTCCAAGGTCCTAACCTTTTCACGGGGAAATCTCAATATAACTGTCATAATTGTGTAATGAGTGTGTAGGAGTGTGCTGAATGAAATCCGCACTATGTATTCAGAGGGGTGCAATCCTTGGAAAGAAGTCGGAAGTGTCCGTCACTTCTCAGGACGTCCTAACCGGATGCCACCTTTGAATTATCAAAGACACTATGTAGGGTGTCTATTCGAAAATCATGAGAATTCTGACAGGTCAAACAATTGAAAACCTTGGGAAGCCTTAATGTGAGATATAAGTATCTTTTTCACTTCTTTCTTTCTGTGGTAGAGCCACCGTCTTAAGAAATCTTCAAATATTTATTGGAAAGAACTCTGTCGATTAACAAAACATTTTCGACAAATTTATGTTTACTCGGAAATCTCGCTTTTCGCTAGGCAGTTACATTCGGTCTTAATTTTTATGCGTAAAACACCACACTGACAACACTATCTATTTTCTCCAAGCTCTTCTGGAACGATGACTCCTCAATTGTTTTCTAAACATTTTCCAAGTGATTAAGAACACTAACGGTTTTAGGCCGACTGACAGAAAAGCGGGTTGACAGCTGATGGTGATCATAAGACAACCACAACGACAATGACTATGACAGTAGCTGTGACGATGATCCTGATGATGGGTGCTTAGCAATCGGAGTTTTGTGATCTACTCCCAAGTGACCCAATCTTTAAAGTGGGAGATTTTTGGAAACTGAATCCTGAATTCATCAGATACTGTTGTATGTGCTGTCCAGACTTTCACCCTTGTGTGCTGTAAACGATTGCTGCAGCCAAACTCAAAACGATATTGTCTCCCATAGAGAAACAACTCCTCATGAAAAAATATCACACTTTCTGGTTCATGTGTCGGCTAGTTTACTATCCAAAGTAGAAAAATTTAGTGAGCTGCCGTGTGGTTTTTCATAAGGCTTTTAAATGGGCCATGTCATAATAAATATTGACAGGCTATCCTTCATCATATACACTGACTAGACGTAGTTCGTTAGGCAACAATGTGCGCAGAGTATCATTCAGTGGAGGAAGACACGGAGCGAAGTTTTATCGAACTTGACCAGACTGATTTTTAAGGGATATTTCTATTTGTTGAGCTATTTATTCATTGTGACCACTGAACTGTAGTACTTGATGCTAAATTGCCGTTTCCTGGTTCTAACCGAAGTTAAGGCGTGTAGTACAAATGAAGCTAGTAAAATCGGGGTAATTTAGCTGGTAAGCTACATCTGCACCGCGCACCAACAAGTAGAAAAAATTCCTTGTTTCAATCAGCTAACGTGCTTTTGAGCCCAAACCAAAAACACTCGCGTGATTATGATCTTTGTAACAAAGTTCCCGGGCACCGGGTATTATCTGGTCTTCTTCTACTCCTGACGTATATGTAGTCGTAGCATATGATATCATCTAACTCACCATAATGTTGAGCCTTTTATTGAATGGCTTTTATCCTATTCCTTGGTGCCATATCTGATGCCTGAATTAGTTCACTGGGTGCTGATCAGGTAGCAGCTGATCTGCTCTCTTCGCCTAGGAATGGGCTTGCAAGATATTTGTTGCCACATCTATGCACTGGTGATTTTTCAGAGTATAGTGACGGAACTTTCACAGTTAGCTTCTAAGGTGGGCGAACGGATCAGCTTTTACATGAGTGATAACTGATCATATGTTATAAGGTGAAAAATGCACTGGCTGGCATCTTCAGTTCTCCGTAAACACTCTCAAGAGCACGCAATATCGGATTAAATTAAGACGCTTTTTACGTCTCCTCTTCTTAACAGTACGTTTTCCAGTTGCAACTAAAGCAACACGAAACTGTCTACTGGGAGCAGGTTAATGAAGGACGATATCGGCGTCTGTGCAATTCCACTAGTGCCTTGGTCGCTGAATCGGCACGACAGTACAATCGGATCCGCACACTTCTCATGGTGATCGACAAACTAATGATGGATTTTCCACAAGTAGGTCAAAATTGTCTTGCAAGCCTTGCGATCTCTGAGCTTCCTGGTAATAACACTGCTCATAAGTATATTTGCATGACATCAATTTATAAGCTACTACCTAGTATATACAGGATATATTATATATTTTATTATAGTAAACGATGTACATGATGTGATAAATGTTTTGTATGTAATACGCAAAAACCATGAGAAAATAGTATTCTAAAGCTTGAAAAACTAATATAATAAGTAATAAATATAATAAACCTGGCATGGTAGACAAAAGAAAATAAACATATGATGTTAGCGTGTACTGAATATAGCGTATTTAATGAGATATGACGTCGTGTCTTGTTCAGCAACCGTTACATATGTTTACCTAAGTGATTGCTATCAGAATTATCAGGAAGGTCAGATTCCCGAAAGCAACCACTGAATATCCGAAATCTACTGAGATCCTCACCTCTGCTAGATGTTGGCCAGACAGGCAAGGTCCCCTCAATATGCAGCGCGTCGCAGCCCCGTACCAAGGCCCAACTGCGTGCGTCAACATTGGACCAAGTGAGACAGTGTCGCTCCAACAACTGGCTTGGGAGCGTTGTGTTTTGGCCCTCGCACGCACTCACGCTCTCGCACTCGCTTGTTCGGAATATAGCCGTTGTGTTCCCTCCTGTGAGTTTTTTTTTCGACATTAGGCACCGGAGCGGATCAGTAGTCAGATACAACAGATTGGCGAATCAGTAGATAGCACAAGAATGTCCCTGATTCAAATACGTTCGACTTGGGTTGCTACTATTAGGAGATCCACCAAAAAAGATTAGCATATGCAACATCTTCATTTGCCAGCCTTAATAGGCACCTCCAAAAAGCTAATAAATTACATTAAACCACCCCGCACGCGTTTGAAACACTATCGGAGTCCATAGGTCATGATACTTAAAAACCTCTAATAACCACTTGTTAGGTGAACATGATACATCACATACATTTAGTAGTCTCATTCTCTTTATTTCATCTGTTTTTACTTTAACCTTCATTGAGAAAGGCGATTTTTAGTGAAAAAAGAACCTCAACATTGTGACGAGTTGTAGTAAACTCAGCAAAATTTTGACCTGCGTTTTGTGTCATTGTCGTGGGTATTTCACTTTTGAACGAGTCTATCCGAAACAGTGGTTGTCTCCCAGCCGCTGGAAGTCAATGGGCAGAGGTTAAATTGAGCCTAAAATATCGAAAGTTATAAGATACCGGTGTAACGGTGATACTATTGATGGGGAGGCACGCGAGTAGTATGTGTTGTTCGTAGAATTTCGCTTTGCGTCTATTGAAAAAGGGAGATCTGTTGCGGAATTCGTGGAGCCACTTTGTAACATTTGCTTGGATTTGACCGAAGAATGAGTGGAGTCAATGAGTCTCCAGGAAAGTTCAAGAAGACTCGTTCAGGAGAAGATCGGTGTCCAGTTTTTGTAACTAAGATGCAGATTAGAGTTTCGCTTCCCTGTTCAATGGTCTGTAACCGGTCAGTTGGCATTTGCTAACTAAATAACTCCGCAGCGAAGGATTTCTTCTTTTCGTCGGTATTTGTATAGGGTTGCGTGTATATTTGGTTGAATACCTATTTGGCTTTTGCGGGAGACTCACTTGGATTCCAGCTTAATTTCTCGCTTGTGATACACTTGTCCAACTTTTGGTTAAAGGAGAACCTCAGTGTATGGGAACCCGTAGACCCTGTAAACCTGAGGATCCTGAAGAAGTGCAAAACTGGTCTTATGTTGCCAACCAGTTAGCTTCAAACCCACGGGTAGTGTTTTAAGTCTATGAAATGTATTGGAATATTTCAAATCTCGTGCCAACTGGTAGATGAGGTGGCCCGGTGGAGCAAAACCAGTTGAAGAACAACACCATAGAAGAGAAATTCGGATGAGTTTCCAGTGAATCTCTCGTAAAAAACAAATTAGTATGTAAATGAGTGTATTTGCTTATGTTGTTTTAGTTTAAGGCTATTTGCTTGAGCATTATACTGCAATCTGGATCCTCCCGAAATTCTGCTCTTTATCCACGTTTTATATTGAGTCTGGTCTTTTCTTTGTCTTTAGGTACATTTGATGACTCGTCGCGCTACAACTGACTTTACTGCTTGCTGTCCTTGTTTGAGCAGAAGCAGTCCTCGCAGCTTTTGATATCTCCTGCGGTTTCGGATATAGTCCTGATTATTGTGTTTTTAGTAGTCACATCTTTAAATTAAATCCTTTTCGAAGCTCAAATAGAATCACGCGGAATCGTACAATACCTTCTACTTACTCGTTTCCAGTCAGTTTGTTGAGTCAATTAGTCGCTTTTTCTACACCATTTGCTCCGTATTCATTATCTGTAAGACCAGTGAATCTTGTGTCCACGTAATTTTGCCCAATGGTCTATCGTTGCAAGCGGCATTAGTCACAGGCTAAAAGAGAGGGACCACCTAGATGTAATCAGTCCCTCTACGATTTTTACTTCCCTCTGTAATACTCCATAGGGAGATTTTTAAAGCGCTTTTTGTCCTTGAATGGTAAGGACAACCAAAGGGGTAAGGAAGTGTATTAAAACTCATTTTCAAAGCGTAAATGACATCGGTGTTTATTAGTTCAGTGTAGTAGGCACTTATACAAATCATGCACACGCTCCTTAGCCTTTCTGTGTTCAACATTTCCAGGCACAGCGCGAGCTATATCCACTACACCGCATCTTAGAAAACCGTCTTGAACAAGAAGATAAAAACGAACGACTGGCTTCTGTCCAGTCTCCAGAGTCAGAAGATAGTCGTCGATCCTCGCTGATTTCCAAGGCCACTCCGGTACGAGAGAACCCGTGAAGTTCTACAATAAGAGCACTCCATGAAAAAGAATGTTTATGATGGACCTTACCGGATGTCCAACGCCTTACACAAATAAAAAAAGAACTCAACCCATATAACTGTACCATTCGAAAGACACGGATGTCATGCTTTTTACGTTCCTCTGAATGCATTCCAGATAATATCCCCCTTTATCAGTCTGGTGTCCAATGTCTGGTACCAACCCTCATCAAGAAAAAACAATGTAGATAATGTTGATTGTTTTTCTCATTCAGCACAAGCAAATAAAAGATAATAGTTACCTGTGCCACACAAAACTACTCATTGTTCGGATGTTTTTGTATATGTTGGGCATACAAAATGTGTCTGTACCGCATGTTGCGCGAAGTTACCGTGTCTTTTTAAGGAACGATAAATTCTTTCCGTTTACTGGGAGCTCAACTAGCTTGTTCGAGCGAAAAATGCTTTCCTGTGAATTTAATATCTGAAGAGGATGAAATGAATGTAATACTCATGAGTAACGTATTATACAACTGAGAGATGTGAAAACCTAGATCTTAGCGGGTGAGTAACAGGGAATAGGTATGTTAGGTTTCGGAGGTTGCAACGAATACAGTTGTAAAACTTTGAGACAGAATCAGGTGTTTACCGCTTAAAAAAGCTGTATAAATTGCGTTAGTTGGAGTTGTGGGTGCTTTGTTTTTGTTTGCTGTCGGTCAGCCGCCCACGGACGATAAGTCGGATTGGGATAGAAGTCTTAGGAATTTTCCCCAGGCAGATATATGCTTGGAAAACGCGAAGGTACACAATACTTTTGTTAACCAAAATTGATTTGAGGTAAGCGATCTCAGGGTGCTTGCCGCAACTAAAACATCTTCGCTCTTTCATTTTCATAAGTTTGGTGAAACAAGTCGTTAGAGGTAACCTGATAGTAGTCAGCGTAACCTTGGCTAATATACGGAAATGATGGAAGTTCAGGAGAGCTTCCCGGTCATGGACATTCCTGTTAAGTCTCCAACAAAGCACCCATCATAGGCCGATTAAAATTCTTGAAAATGTATGTACTAAACTGTCAGAGCACGAAGAACGTTTTAGAGACTATCATTAGTTTCAAAATATATGTTTGTATCGAAGACTCAAAGTCTGCTTTGGATGCGTGCGTACGAAGCTTCTGGAATTGCGGGTCATCTGACATTCGATAGTCGCGGTGTTTTTCCTTAGTAGCCTGCGTTTGCTTTTCGCACAGTCTTGAAAATCAACCGCATTATTTACTGCCCCCAAAGCATATACGTTTATAGAACTGGTAGGATCTCGCACTTCCATTTAGCTGAGCACTCACAAGATCACTTCATAAGATGATCGTCTCCTGAAGTTCAAATCTCAAAGTGATCAGGCCCCACTATGGAGAAAGGTAGAACGTGGAGGTCAAACTGGTGACGCTGGACTCGGAAAATTCGCCCAGCAACTTTGCTTTCGTTGTAAACTTAGTTATACAAATGCAGTTTGTTAGTACCTAAGGATTAGCTATCTGACCTTCTGTTGCATCGTATTTTAAAGCTACTCAAACTACCTTAATTAGTTCTTCACATAAGTGGAATTTGGTAATCACATTATTAATTTTTGCCAAAAACGACGTGTCCCTGCAAAAAAGTTTTAGTTGAGTGCATTTCCTAACTCTACTAAAAATTTGACGAGGGATTCCCTGCTCAAACGAACCTCACTTTCACAGAGATCGCATGCTTTACTGGCAAAAACACTTTAACGGCACTTCATGATTTGATCACGCGTTGCATGGTTGTGGTCGGCGAGCTCCTAGTTTAATAGCGGAACGTGGGGTAAAGCACAGCGTTACTAGATGATAGCAATTTCAACTTAAGTGTCATCAGTTGCAATCCAGATTTTGCTATACAATATGCCTTCTGGCTTTATTCAATCTGTCCGCAAAAATTTTGATATCTCTTCTCTTATAGTGTCTTCTAAGTTCTGTCCTCCTATAATTCGTCAGCGTTCCAGGCAAACATAACTTGCATGGAAACGATGACCCTTATATGCTAGTTATCGGCATTGATATTGCAGACCAATCACGTTTAAATTCACTGAACTTAAACATCCAAAAGAATGAACTGAATGATCGATACTTTTCCCCATTTTCCAGGAAATAACTCCATCAGATACAGTGCTGATTAATAGAGTCACCTTTGCGCGTTGCGCACCCGTTACTTCAAACAACAGTGGACGTTGGAAGCAAAATTCGGTAGCTCAAACCTGTCCTTACTGACTTAGAAACGAAAAAACCCCTGGTATTCATGATGGTTGAAGTTACTCTAGCCAGCAGCTTTGTGGGCTATGATGTCAAGCTGATTGACGTGGTAAACAGGGTAGTGCACCTCCTAAAACAGCCAGTTAAGTAGCTGTAAAACAATCCTCATGGGCTCGCTTGAAACGCATCGACAGCCCACAATCGGTTTCGCACTACTTGGGGTTCATCAGGTGGGCACAGTTTCCACACGAAGAACATTTTAGAGACTATCGTTAGTTTCAAAATACATATTTGTATAGAAGACTCGAAGTCAGCTTTGGATGCGTGCATGCGAAGCTTCTGGAATTGCGGGTCATCTTACATTCGATAGTCGCGGTGTTTTTCCTTAGTAGTCCGTGTATGCTTTTCGCACAGGCTTGAAAATCAACCGCATTATTTACTGCCCCCAAAGCATATACGTTTATAGAACTGGTAGGATCTCGCACTTCCATTTAGCTGAGCACTCACAAGATCACTTCATAAGATGATCGTCTCCTGAAGTTCAAATCTCAAAGTGATCAGGCCCCACTATGGAGAAAGGTAGAACGTGGAGGTCAAACTGGTGACGCTGGACTCGGAAAATTCGCCCAGCAACTTTGCTTTCGTTGTAAACTTAGTTATACAAATGCAGTTTGTTAGTACCTAAGGATTAGCTATCTGACCTTCTGTTGCATCGTATTTTAAAGCTACTCAAACTACCTTAATTAGTTCTTCACATAAGTGGAATTTGGTAATCACATTATTAATTTTTGCCAAAAACGACGTGTCCCTGCAAAAAAGTTTTAGTTGAGTGCATTTCCTAACTCTACTAAAAATTTGACGAGGTATTCCCTGCTCAAACGAACCTCACTTTCACAGAGATCGCATGCTTTACTGGCAAAAACACTTTAACGGCACTTCATGATTTGATCACGCGTTGCATGGTTGTGGTCGGCGAGCTCCTAGTTTAATAGCGGAACGTGGGGTAAAGCACAGCGTTACTAGATGATAGCAATTTCAACTTAAGTGTCATCAGTTGCAATCCAGATTTTGCTATACAATATGCCTTCTGGCTTTATTCAATCTGTCCGCAAAAATTTTGATATCTCTTCTCTTATAGTGTCTTCTAAGTTCTGTCCTCCTATAATTCGTCAGCGTTCCAGGCAAACATAACTTGCATGGAAACGATGACCCTTATATGCTAGTTATCGGCATTGATATTGCAGACCAATCACGTTTAAATTCACTGAACTTAAACATCCAAAAGAATGAACTGAATGATCGATACTTTTCCCCATTTTCCAGGAAATAACTCCATCAGATACAGTGCTGATTAATAGAGTCACCTTTGCGCGTTGCGCACCCGTTACTTCAAACAACAGTGGACGTTGGAAGCAAAATTCGGTAGCTCAAACCTGTCCTTACTGACTTAGAAACGAAAAAACCCCTGGTATTCATGATGGTTGAAGTTACTCTAGCCAGCAGCTTTGTGGGCTATGATGTCAAGCTGATTGACGTGGTAAACAGGGTAGTGCACCTCCTAAAACAGCCAGTTAAGTAGCTGTAAAACAATCCTCATGGGCTCGCTTGAAACGCATCGACAGCCCACAATCGGTTTCGCACTACTTGGGGTTCATCAGGTGGGCACAGTTTCCCAAACTTATGTTTACTTGAACTTAATCACACATTTACGCATTGAATAGGTTCCAACAGAAGACTAACCTGAAACCCAGCCAAATCTTTTGTTTATGATGTCGTCCTTCAACTTAATGTGCTGCACAAGGCCACCTTATCATCCAGTTAGTATGAGATTCGAAGTATGCAAATGAGTGTATCTGTAGAACTTTATGCAATTCCGATTCAATGAGAGCACAGGGTTGTCGGGAACTAGGGGACTGCCTACACCTAGAGAACACCAAGGAAAGAAAACCTGATTGTGGGCTGTCAAACAACCCTATGGGTAATGGGTTAGGTCTATAAGATGTATTGAAGACGAGGCGGTCTGGAGCAGCGCAATAACCTGAGAAACAGCATCATAGACGAGAGATTCGGTTAGATTTTAAGTGAGCCTCTCGTGTAAACCAAACTGGTATACAAATGAGTCTGTCCTCCGAATACGCATTCGTATTTTCACTAAATAACCCAGCACTTCGTTGTCGCTTTATACTTATTGTTTGGCAACTTTTTGTAACTTCCTAATATCGTCAAGGTCCAGAGTGATTCAAGCAGTGCGAAATGAGAGAGCAAGACAAAGCACAATCTGTACAGGTAAACTATAAGGTGCTTCTCCACCACTTTCTGGATTGTTCTTGGCTAAAATTACGGTACTCTGTGTCAATATGTTATGCCCTCGAGGGTGTGAAATAAGTCACTAGGACGGGCTTAATCTTCTTCTGTCAATTTGTAAAACTGACTACCTCTTCAACTGACTGGCAGTTGAAGTCTGTCCCCGGCAGTTTTGCCAAAGCGCTTCTAAATCCTATGAATGACAAATGACAAAGGGTAAATAGGAAGGCATATTCACACCTGGAGAACGGGCAGAAACAGTTGCTCTTCGTATTTTAACCATTATCACATTGTTTTTAAATGGCTTATATTCCGCTGTCGAATTAGTTATGGAGAATAAAAGCGCAGCTTATGAAAACGAAGTCATGCACTGCCAGGGAGCTATGCAATTAATTCAGCTGAAGGTAAACTGTCTGAGAAAGATTCTAATGCGGTTGTTGACGAACGTGGGCAACCGTTATCAAGTTGGTGTTGCTGTGTTCAAATGTCCTAAATGTCTCCGTCTTCTTGACCCATTTCTTTTTTATAAGACCTGGGGACTTGCTTCTTCTCCTGCTTATACTTGCGAAACCCAAGTTGTACTATTTTCGTCTGCCTTAGCAGTCGGTGTCTTGTCCGCACAAAATTTTTGAATCATGACAGCAGGCTACCTCACCAAAATCGATCCTCTTACCCTCTTTAGTCGCCAGAACCAACTAATCTACCAATACTTCATCTTTCTTCTCAAAATATGAAGTG